TAGGTGTCAGATATATAACAAGGCATTTTACAGAAATGTTTCCTTTTTAGTATGTTTAGGAACACTGTAGGGATTTTTAATCCCACTTTAGTACTATTTTGTATTTAAATTACTTCCCCAAATTGGTAAGTGATAAAACTGGGATTCATAATTCACACTTTTGCTTTTTCACTCTATCACTTTATACATGAGATTCATCATTTCATTTCTGACAGTGTCTTTCAAAGTGATTTATAACTAAAAGGTACAAAAGAAAGAAAGAAATATGTTGTAATTTTAAAAATCACTATTAATAATTTTGGACAGTGACAAAATGTACTGTCAAAGTTTTTTTGGTTGTTCAGTTCTACTGCATTTTTTAATGTCATTAACTGGATACATTTTAGAGGTGAACACCAACACTTTTGCTTGCTTGCTTCTTATCTTTTATTTTTTTCTTTTCTATGCAATGTTACAACAGCAAAACGCCAAGATATTCCTCATAACTTATCTTTTCTTGGAAAGAAATATGATATTTTGTACAGCTTTTTTGTTCACATAGACTATATCATGTTAGCTGATTTATTTGAAAGGGATAACAAATTCATGTGCCAATTTGTTAATGATCATATGCTCACTCCAGTGAAAAGTAGAAAATGTCTCACTGATTAGAAGGACTCTTTCCTTCTTATTTTTTTCTTTATGACATAGATGCTAAGCTATTCTCTGCACTCTTTATAAAACATTTGTATCAAATTTCATATGAGAATGAGAAAAAGAAAGGAGGGAAGAAAGGAAAGGATATATGAAATACTTAAAATTAACTTAAAAATGGGAATTAAACTTAAAATAAATCTCATCCCGATTAAGCAATGGAGATAGTGGTGATATTTAAAATATTATGTATTTTTATTTTCCATATATTTTATATGCTGTTTTTATATGCTATGGAGTTGGCTTCAACTTAGAGTGAACCAATATACAGCAGAGCAAAACACTGTCCGATCCTGTGCCAGCCTTTCATTTGTTGTCATGTTTGAGCCCATTGTAGCAACCTCTGCGTCAGTTCATCTCACTAAGGGTCTTCCTCTTTTTTACTGACCATCTACTTTACCTAGTATGATATCCTTTTCAGGGATTAGTCCCATTTGATAATATGTCCAAAGTACAATTATAACTTCTAAGGAGTATTTTTTCCAAGACAGATTTGCTTGTTCATAGTATATTCATCATTCTTTGCTAACACTATAATTCAAAGGCATTCATTCTTCT